GGTCAAAGGATTTGCTATGGGCCACGCAAGCGTTCAACTTCAAAAGGAGCCAGACTTAGAAAAACAGAGCAGAAGATAAGAGGGCAGAGATTTGTCAGTAGACGGGAAAGTCTTGTTTTAAATGCACACACAAAGCTGGTGTTGAGCGAAGATGAAGCACAAGAAGACACTAAAGAGGATTCCAGGGCTTTAATACCTTCTAAAAGCCCTAATATGTTTAAAATCTAAGGACCTGCTTTGACCATTCACATATTTCACTGGAGTTGTCCACCAACATATGAAATGTCACTGTTGCTTTCTTTTTTTCTTTTTTAAAGTCCTGTGTGGTCCACACTCAGCCAAAACACAAATGGTGCAACTATACCGGTCAAATGAGAAATTGGTGGTGACAGGAATACAGTCTATAATCATGAAGCATGTTCTGAATATTGTACAACTGACTTCAATGCAGAAACATGAAAGTATTTAAATAAATATATAAATATTTACATAAAGTGATTCTCATATGAAGCTAATGTACTACAGGTTTCAAACTATTTATAGGAAGCTGTAAAAATGAAGAAATGTTTGATGATGAATGGAGCTGTAGATTATTTCACAATAACTGAGAAAGCGGTACAGTAGTGAAAATAAACTTAAATAAAATTACCATCCAAAATGCCTCATAATTGAAAAGCAGTGACCAAATCTCACTAATCAAATGGCTATTCATAGTAATTTTGTGACAAGTACTAACTATAAATAACAGCTTATTATTATTTTTTAAAATACTTTGCTCATAGAAAATTCTTGTTATTCTCAAATTGTTCCAAATAGTGAATAAACCATTGGTTTACATTTTGATGTCTAATTATAACATTGCAACAGATACTGTATACTATATTACTGAACAACAATTATTACTATGGCCAATTTCCAAATGTTTGAGCAGTAGTGAACTTTTAGTAGTAGTAGGCAGTTGCTATGGCACGAGGGGTGTGAACTGAGTGGTTCCTAGTTGTTTCGGAAAATGAATGGGAGTCTATGGGAAGAACAAGGGATGAAAAAATGACACATAGACAAGTGTGGGTCAGTGTAGCTTTGGATTAGAGATTGGGGACCTGCACTGTGTATGTACATGCGATATGGTGGCTGTCAGTCAAAGAAATAACTGGGCTTGTGTGGAGGCAAATATGAATGGGAGTCTACGTAGATACGTTGGAAGTACAGTAGATGGTCGTGCAATTTTTTACCCCATTCATTCCTATTGAAAAACAAAATCGGAATTTAACGAAGATTGTATCAAAACCGTATGTGTAAGATGAAAAAGCTGTACACTAGCACATTCCCATGCAGACCGAACATTCCGGAGTTGGAACAGTGTCTATATCTTGAAAACTGCGGGACGAGTTAGCGGACAAAACAACAAAAAGTAGAAGAAGAATTGAAATTGGATAACAATAGTGTTGCGCATTGCAAAGCAAATCACTCATAATAATAATAAAACTTTATTTACAGAGCACTTTTTACATCAGTAGCAGCTCAAAGTGCTTCACAGACAGGTGGTAAAGTTTGGTACCAGCAATAAAAGAATTGAATAAAAGAAATAAAAAATGAAGGAAGAATTTTAATTAAAAGCTAAAGAGGTACATTTTCAACTGTTTCTTAAAAGTGTGTGCTGTGCTTGACCGCCTAATAGTTTTACATATAACTGTGTATCATACAGTGTCAGGAACCACATAAGAAAGACTATTAGAGATTATTTAACAACTCCATAAGCGTCTGTAACTTGTAGCTAAATTAGTGTCGTAGCTCAAGTACAAAACTAAAAGAAATGTCTTGGCTAATCAACCACATCCGCGTGCCAAACTGTAACTTTAAATGACAACCTTGTTCTACACCCTCTTACAGACAGTTCCACCCAGCCGCTCCGGCTTGATCTCTAACCCAAACACAGCCCGCAGCCCTTACAGGTGGATACAAAGCTTTCAACTTTTTTTCCACCGGGTCTATTTTTGTTTGCTGAGGGAATCTTTCAGCACACTTTCTCTCTAAAAGCGAGGGACACCTGAACGTGTCTGCTGTGTGCAGGTGTCAGAGCAGAAAGATTGAGCACTGCCTCTTTTCCTCTCCTCCTCTTCTTTCTAACTCCCCCTCTCACCCACACAACCACACACAAACCTAGTGTTTACTCTTCTTCCTCCAGGGCTGGAGGTTTAGAGGGAATTTCCTCAGATTACTGCTGTGTATGTTTCAGCACCACCCCGGCTTGCTAACAGGAGGAAGGAGAGGAGGCCTCTAAATCTGTGTTCTCCTGCAGGATTGTGTGTGCATCCTGAAGACGCACAAACACACGTACACCTGGCAACGGTGTTCATAAGTCCATTAATAAGAGTCCGAACAGAGTCTCTGGGGTGCAAGTCGGAGACGAGTTTTGAGTCTTTGGGGCACGAATCAGAGCCCAAACTCTAGTCTCTGGGGTGCGAGTACGAGTCGAGACTTTAGTCTCTGGGGTATGAGTCTGATTTGAGTCAAGACTATAGTCTCTGGAGTGTGAATCCACATTGAGTACTTGGGATGCAAGTCTGAGTCAATTCTAGAGTCTCTGGGGTGCAAGTCCGATTCAAGTCTCGAGTCTCTGAAGAACAAGACTGAGTTGAATACTCGGGGTTGCAAGTCCGAGTCAAGTCTTGAGTCTTTGGGGTGTGAGTCCGAGTCCAGTCCAAGTTGAGTCTCTAGTCTCTAAGGAGCGAGTGTGAGTCAAGTACTTGGGGGTGCAAGTAAAGTCAAGAATCTAGTGTCTGGGGTGCAAGTTCCAGTTGAGTCTCTAGCCTCTGGGGTGCGAGTCAGAGTTGAGTCTCTAGGGAGCGAGTCTGAGTCAAATACTAAGGGTGGGAGGCCGGAGTCACGTGTTGAGTCTTTAGGGAGTGAGCCTGAGTCAAGACTTTAGTCTCCGGGGTGAGTCCGAGTCGAGTCTCTAGTCTCTGGGGCGAGTCAGAGTCGAGTATTTAGGGGTGCAAGTCCAAGTAGAGTCACTGGAGCGCAAGTCCAAGCCGAATCTTGAGTCTCTGGGGTGTAAGCATGAGTTGTCTCTAGTCTCCGAGGTGCAAGTCCACGTCAGGTTTTGAGTCTCTGAAGTGCAGGTCCAAGTCGAATCTTGAGTCTCTGGTGTGTGAGTCTGAGTCAAGTCCCGAGTCTTTAGCAGAGAATTTTAATTTAGTCTCACTATTATTTGCAGGCACTGCATTGTGCAAAATGCAAAATGCATGTGAAACATGTCAGGTTTGACAAGACTTCAAATAACAAGCCATTCATTATAGAAAAACTTCAGCTAACAGTATTGTAGCTGTACAGTACTGTAATAGCTAGCATACTGCTTTCTAAACTGCACAAGCCATTAGTTTCAAGTGATTTTGCCTCTTTTTTAAACACTGCATTAGTGCTTCATTCTGTCCATCAGACTGAAGGTTTTTCAATAACTTGATGCCACTGCAAGCTGTGTGAGAACACCACTGTAGTAATGACAGCACTAGCAAAACTGACAAACACATAAAAGTCACACACGTAAATGTGAAAATGCAAGATTTCATTTATTTACCACATTTAGGTTGGTGGTCTTAATTTAACGAGTTTTGTCAGCCTAAAATTTCACAAGTCCTGAGCTCCAAGCCATTTAAGGGAAATTACAAGTCGAGTCACAAGTGAGTCAAAATGCGACTCGCATCCTCATCTCAGACACCTGCCACACACACGCACCCAGTTATTTTTGTCCTTATCGTTTACCACTGGCTCGTGAACCCGCAGCCACGGAGCTGCTGGCTGCTTGGAAGAGCCTTGTTCGGAAACCCGATCAGGAACAAAGGGCCCGTGCCACTGGCAAAGAGGTCATGGGGCACACCTGCTCTGTGTGTGGGAGTGTGTTTATGTGTGAGGAAGCATTTGAGGGGCTGGTAGGGGGGATAATTAGAAAAACAAGCGTCACGTGTTGAGTGTTTGCTCTTATGTTATGCCTGCAGAGCAGAACTGCAAAAGGCTCTTTCATCACAAGAGCACAGGAAAAAGAGGTCAACTGGCACATCAGAACACTTCAAACATTCTAGTGATGTTCCACAACAACAGGTACATATTCGCCATGTTTTTTTGTGTAGGACAAAAGAACAGAAATAGCTGCCAAAAAGAATGCAAGAATGCACAGGGAAGGTAAAATGGGGCTTGTAGAATTCCCTCAAACATAGAACATTTGCACAAAACAGATGTCAAATAAATTTCTAAATTTCAAAACAACGTTCTAAAGTTTTGTTTAAATCGCCTTTTATATATCTGCAGTCCTATACAGAAGTTTACATCCACCATTTTTGGTCAGAGTTTCTTATCTGTTTACTCCAAATACAGAAGCATAGAAATTTTACTGCAGCCGGCTAAAGTCTACCACACACGGTAGAAGAAGCTACAGGCCGCACCGCCAGAGTCGGCTGGCGGGTAGCAAAAAGTACAAAATGCAGCTATAGCACATAAGAAGCATCTCAAAAAAGTGCAGTTAAACTTCAAGCTCAAGTTCATTTTATACTCTACTATAGATTTAGATTTAAGGATAGAATTAATGGAATAAAACTTTCAACATCGTTCAGTAATTCATCACATTTGGTATTAGTTAACCAAATATTTACAACTAACTTTTTCCAGCTAAAAGGTACAATCTGATATACAGTGTGACTGTAGATTCATATATATACACACACATACATACATATATGTGTGTGTATATATATATATATATATATATATATATATATATATATATATATATATATGTACACACACACACACACACAATATATATATATATAAAAAATCACAAATCACACAGATTTATGCATGGAGCACACTTAGACTTGCATCCAAACATGCATTCATTTATGCACATTTTACGTCAAACCCACTTTTTATAAATCACTACTTTAACATGAAATCTTCACATAACATTATTTTATGATCAAATCTGTGTGTATGACTGTTTTCCGGAGGCCCCTGAACTTTATCACAGAATCTGTTGTAGTTGTACAGGCAATCAAGCATTTTTATTTTTTATCACTACATCATAAACTCAACAGTGCTATCTGACTGAAATCAAACATAACACACGTGTCGCTGCATGATGAAATGGTCCACTGAGACTAGTGGAAGTAAATCGAAAGCACTTCAAAAATGCAAAAAAAGTGCACAAAAAATGTTTATTTATTTATATTTTTTTATAAAATCAGAACTTTTTTATGAAATGGTGCTTGGACCCTGATGGTTGCCACTTGCAAGTTTCTTTTTAAGTGGACTAAATGTTTTGTTTTTGTGTCCCCTGGCCAGTGTTGTACGTTCTCTGTGTGAGAGTACGAGTGTGGGGAGGAGTGGAGCAGCACGCCAGCACTGGGGAAGGATGTGGTACCCAAAGCAAACACAAGCTGCCGGACCCTTTGTGTCTCGCCTCTCCCCACTTCCGCCTGACCTCCACCCAGAGGAAAGCCACGAGGCTGCAAGAGAGAGTAAACAAGGCCAAGAGTGTCTCTGGGGACGACAACTCAGTTTCACACATGCAAACACGAATGCATGCAAATCACACCGCTATTCATCTGAAACAGTCTTTATTCTTATAAATATGTGAGAAGATACATGGAGGGATTTAAGGACAAATGACGGAGAGTCAGAGAAAGAAAGAGAGACAGAGATAGTGAAAGAGAGAGAGAGAGAGAGAGATACAGAAATAGTGAAAGAGAGAAAGAGAGACAGCTACTCTTTCTCTTTCCTGATTTGTCTTCAGAGCGGCTGTCCTGAAGAATGCCGCCCCTCACTGCTGTCAAAACAAGGCTGGGATGTTTTGCTAGCTGCAGCTGTCTCCTCCACAGGGACTTACTGAATTTCTGGAAGAGACTGCTACAAGATCCTTCAACCCCCCCACCACCACCCCACCTCACTCCTCTTTCAATCCCTTCCATTTTTTTTCTCTACTTTTTCCTCTGCCCCGTGTCTTTCTCTCAGAGAGAGAGGGAGAGCGAGCAGGGTGGACAGAAGGAATGATGTGTAAGGGGGGAGGAGGGAGAAATGGTAAATGTTAGCTATGTCTGTGTCCTACTTCAGGCCGGAGTCAATGATCCCTGAAGTGGGGACCATAGCAGCTGAAGAGGGTCAGCCTCTCACACAGCCGGCCCCTCAGCGCCCCTCGCCTCGCGAAGCTCTTCCGTGTAGAGGGTCTGCTGAAGAATGACGGCCTGGTTGTCCAGACACTCTTTTAACTTGTCTTCCGTCAAGGTGAGGCGCTCTTCAAGAACTGCCACGGTCTGAGGAACAAGCGCAGCATCAGTGTTAACACCAACCATTCTTGGGAGTTTAAAGGGGAATTCCACCAATTTTTAAAAAATTCTGCATAATGAAATTCTTAAGATGCACACGAAGTCATTCAGAGGAAGTTTTCACAGAAAGTTCTTACATTAAATACTTACAAATACTCCACTTGATGCGATTTATAATGACTGACTTGTGCAGAAATAGAATTGATAATAACTATAAGACTATCCAATATCCAAGTATTTTAAAAGTAAAATTAAAAGTCCTGGGCTATTTTCAAACCCAGTTATCCAAGTAGTTAAACAGTTATATCATCAAACTATTTAAAATATTATTGTTTTTATTATCAACTGGAGAAACAACCAGTTACTCCACTCACATTTCTTCATTCTGTATTTTTTTTAATTATTATTTTTGTAAATCACATCAAAATTGAATCAAACTGAATGAAATCAAAACGTACAGATGTACATCCTTATATAAATATAGAAATACACCATTTAATTTCTAATGAGTGAACATTTTTGTTTTCTAAGGGGCATGGAGAAAGCCAAAAACAGAATCGCAAAATAGCCAGCACTGCTCACCTGAGTCAGAATGTCCAGCTGCTGGACAATGTGCTCTAGAGTGCTTCTAAAAGCTGGTGGAAGCCCCGAGCGTTCATCCAACAGGTACGTGACCCCAGGTCCCAGTCTTTCCTCCTCTTCATCCTCCTCTTGCTCCTCATGTGCATGAGTATAAGTGGAAGCTGAGGCAGTGCTGGTGCTTGGACCATCTCTGTAACCTGGGACCCCACGTGCACGTCCACTCCCGCCCTAAACAAGAGCAAAGAAGGAGAAAGGACAATGAGAGGCCAAAGGATCTGACTACCACTAACCGTCAGCACAAAGGATGAATCTTAGGATGAAAAGTTAGGGGTGATAGAATATGATAAATTAGAGGACATGATAAATATCTACATATGTACAGACATTCACACTTCTCTTTAGCTTCTTTCACGCTGGCCCTAACATACTGTAACATACTTGGTGATATGATTCTGATAATCTTATCCGAATACATTGTGCATATTACAGCTCTTCAAGGACACTGACAAACTCCTGAGAAGGCTATCATAATTCAATATTTTGGTGGAATCGACCAAATACTTCAACACTACTGAGTTTCAAAAAATTCCATGTCATTAAATATCAAATTTTAATATCCAAGCAGTCCATCGTATCAGCATCAGTCAGACAATAAGGATGCTTATTCAAAATCCAGACTGCTGATTGGCTGTCTAAATTACATTCTATATGCATGTCCTTAAAGTCACTGCTTCTTGAATAGTCTGCAATCCATTGCTGTCAGTAAACACACCCACTTCCAGCAGCTCTCACTCATTTCTGGTTTAAGTCACACCCACTTTCAGTTTGCAGTTTAAAAGAAAGGTATGAGAAAATTATCATTCTGGAATCAGCGTCGAAGCCAAGGCATCAGTATTGGTATATATTCAGTCTTACTCCAGGGTGACGCACCCATCTAAGCACTGGCACCATCCTCGAGAGATTGAGATGCCTGTTGATGCCACTGCCATGTGTGTCTGGAGTGGGTAGGGAGGATCGTCCTCTCTCTCCATCACTCAGCGCAATGCTAGGCATTGCAGGCCTCTTTTACTGATGTAAAAGAATTAGCAGTTAGTGTTCTCCTTCAAGCGTGTTGTGCTGTCCAATGACATTGTGTTATATGTTTTGGAGGAAGCAAAGCGCTAGCCTTCACCCTCTCAGCTTTATTGCACTGTATGATGGTGGGTGGACCTGACTATGATTTAATCGGGGTTTAATGGGTTAAAAAAAAAACAAAAAAAAAACAACAACAACATGCTTTACCAAAAAGAGTAACTGGTGTAAAATAATGATGATGCCAGTAGTCCATGGTCCTGTTTAATTGATGTAGCAATGCGCAATAAGTTGAAAATAAAGAAATAATGTATTCAAAGTATTCATAAAAAGCACTTAACAAACCATAAAGAACCAAAATATCATAATATGTATCTAGTACTTCTTGTATGTGCAACATACTTGGCGAAATATAGTGATTCTGATTCTATTGTGAAAATGTCTTCAAGAGTCCTGATTTTGTCCACCTCTAGTTTAAGTGGGTGTGTTGATGCAGGAAAAACACTAAAATCTGCAGTCCTAGGGAACTGCAACAGCTGAGTTAGCCGTCATAACCTATTTCTGATGCTCATTTTTCAATAAGTGGATGCTAAGGGTTCTCTGCTACTAGCTACCATTCAAACACCTGCTATTCCACATACTTTTGCCAAGCTCTGTTGACTCTGAAAGCTTTGCATCAGAGCATGGGGGTCTCTGACCCTCAGGGCCAAGCAGCACTAAGACACGGCTCATCACCAGAGTGGGGAGCCTTGGAGGGGAGGGGAGTCCACACATTCCTGCCCTAATGCAGGAAGAAAATCGATTGCAGCCCCTTGCTTCCTGTGCCGCGTCCCGACTTCAAAGGCCAGGCCTGAGAGACAGCAGCATGGCCTGGGAGGGGAAGAGGGGTGAATGTGGGGGGGAGGAGGTGAACAAAGCAGTCAGTGTGTAGTGCAGCCAGCTCGTGGGTCCCTCCTGCACCCACTGGCCACATCTGGGAAACATCTGTTCACGTCGTTTGTAAGTTCCTCACTCTACAGATCTAGCTGCTTCTTCAATTTTTTTTCTTTGCTCTTTCTTCCTTAACACCGCCCCCCGATCAGCACAGGAAGCCCAAGTGCAATTGGGCGGAAAGGGGTGAGGATAACAGGGCTCGCCTGACTGCCAATCAGAGTGGTCTTCTGGGTCTCACTTAGAAGTCCAGGCTAAACGGACATGAATCACTGCCATACAAAAACAGGCCATTAGCACTTAGTGTATAGCTTCAGTAAAGTATGAATGACTGGATAGATAGATGACTAATTGAGGACAAGCTCAAACCACAAAGCACTGAGTTTAACGAAATGGCCAGTGCGTAAGGTCAGATAAAATTTCCCATACATACAGGATGAGTACTTTCTTAGCATCTTTAAATCTGTTAAATACTTCATAGTCATACTTTAAGGTGACATGACTTCCATGAATCATCTATCAATGTCGTGGTGTACCGAGACAGCATTAGATTAGGTCTTTGTAACTGGTCAAGATAATTACAACAAGAGTTTGACCAATAAGAACATTTTACAGCCGATACCAATACGATTTTAAGGGAACAAAATTCCAACCCCGTAGTTTTAATGACAATCAAATTTTCTTCATCAAATAAAAGCTTGTCATTTGATGTAAACATAGTCAAACTTTCAAAATGTACCAATCACTCCCCAATCCATACATGCTAACTACAAAATCAGCCTGCTTCACTGTCCTTGTGATGTCACAAAAACCAATGCAGGTATGTGTATCTGCCTGTTCATCCTACTGCAGTTTAGCCTGCCAATTTATGCCGAAGTTATAGGAAGTGTTTCAGCCTGGACTGTGACCTGAATACGGCACAATACAGGGTAGCCAGAGTAATATAAAAAAGCCTAAAAGTAAAGGGAGCTTGGAAAATGGTAATGTAAAAAGAATTACGACTGTTTTTGTACATAAAAGCACATCAATTTATAAATCGACCTCAGGACAAATAAATAAATAAATAAATTAAATAAATAAATAAGTAAGTAAGTAAGTAAGTAACAACATAAATAGGACATGGGCCCTTTAAACAGTGCTTTACTGTTATGATTGCCAACTGTGAAATGTGAAATATGACAGTCCGTTCTCACTGGTCTTGTTTCTTAAGCTCAAATAAACAGCAGAAACTCACAAAATAATTCATATTAAAAAATACCGATACTCTAGCTGGGGTGGGGCTAACCAAAATTTGAGGCAGTTTTGGTTTCTGTTAATTATCTTTTATTTTCCTTATTTTTCATCAGTTGTAACGTTATTCATGTGATAAAGGTTGACGCATCTTCCATGTTTGTGTTATTCTAACCATTTTTGTAGGGTTGTCATGATTACGCAATTAAAATCAATTACTCTTAAAAAAATTATCATTAAAAATGTACCTTCTCAATGAATCTGCTTACTACTTTGCAATTTGAATGAAAAACAGGATATCCACAGGACACTATAAAGCCACGTTCAGCAATCTGAAGTTCTTCACAGGGGGTGCTATTAGCACTTAAATTGTGTTTATGTGTTTATTATGTGTTTATAAATTATGTTGTGTTCATCACTGAAAGAAAGGAAACCCACACCAGCAGGCTAAAATGAATGTGTGTATGTGTAGTTAAAAGTCTTTATGAACATAAAGTATAATTCAATGTTTGCTGTTACAAACGTTTGCATGATTACTCGATTATTTGTCAAAATAATCCCCAGATTACTTGATTACCAATATAACTGAGTGACAGTTTGGTGTTCAAATTGATCAGTTCAGTTTGTATAGATTAAGACGGGGTGCCTCATGTTGGGCTTCCAAGTGGCAAAACCCTATAAAGTTCCACCTGATCGTTGAGAGACTGCAGGTTTAAAAAATGTGCCTTATGTTTCATAAATATCGCAGATATTAACAGCCAATTGATATATTGGTTAGGCTCCAGTTACAGTGGTGTTCCAGAAAAAGGCACATATTCAGCTGGGTGCCAATTTGTTGAAATAGGTCTTGTTGTACCTCAGTCTCTTTTAACCTTGTTTGTCCCCGAGCCCAGTGAGAGCCTTCTCAGACGAAACTATTCCACCTTCAGACCTCCATGCAATCATTCATGCAAATCCAGGACCATGGGTTGGAGTACAGTTATATAATAAAGACCCACGCATTCTACTATCAGCTGCCAAAGCTTCTGTGAATTAGCAGCATGAACGTTCAAATATGGTGGTGTGAATGAGTGCAGAGCACCATATATAGTCAAATGATGGTATGACCCTGGCAGTCTGTTCAGTGGGTCTGAAGTGGGCACAGGTGGGTCATTACAGCTTGAATATAATCATTCAGCTTCGAGGACAGACCCATGGCCATTATGCCGGCCAAGCTATAATTTATGTCAACAAGCTTGCTGGCTGCTAAACAGGTACTTGGTCTCTACTGGGCCAACGGGGAATATTTATGAGCTCCTTCAGCCCCGCAGAAAAGCCCCCCGACAAGCCTTTGAAATATCACACAGGTCCATGCGCTGCACCCCAGAAATGGAATGTTTTGTCTAACACAGGAAAGATCAGACGGATCGTGGAAATCATGTCCACTCGTAGTCACATTAATGAAACAAAGGCTCAGTCACGTGCCTCCTCTCCACAATGTCCTCTTGACATTATTGCCCCAAATCTGGCAGATTTAATGCACTCATTTGAAAGTAAAACCTGACGCCTGAGTTTCATTTACAACACTAATACAGCCTGGATACTTCACAAATGCAATATTAAAGGCTTCAGGTTTCAGTGGTCAATAAGTTTCTTTAAGCAGTGATAAAGAACTGACTAATCGTAATCATTTGGCCAAGTTCTGCACTCCTAAATAGTTCTCAACTTGGACGTTTGGTTCTAAGAAAAACTTTTAACTAGTATAAAAGATTTACATATGTGAACGTTCTTCAAACTTCAGAGCAATTCTTCACACCTGCACATTTCATTTAAAAAAATGCAAAAGAACTACCTAGGTTTAAAGGCTCTTTAGGGAACCCAGTTTTTTTTTCCTGTGGCATCACTCCAAAGAATACTTTTATGACCTTTATGGTTTAAGGGAACAGTTCAGCCAAAAAAGGTACATAGTTTTCCACTTTCTGCAGATGCTGTCGATCAGCCGAGACATGTTTGGTGTC